TCGAAGTAAGCTTATGCTAGCTCATGACTTTGTATAAGTCTTAGTCCGATTTCACTCCGTCGATCACGTGAGTTTAATAAGCCTTCTTAGCTTTCTTGATTATAGCGAGCCAGTCTCGCGTTTCTTAGGTCGATTCTCCGTCGTACATTATAAAGCGCGTTGCTAAGTGTTTTTTATACGCTATCTAGCAGTCTGCCGTCTATTATAGTGCAGCCGTTAGCCCTTCTCGGGCAAGCTGTCCCGCAACTTCTAAAGCAGAGTTAAAAGCAGTAGCTAAGCTGATCGCAAGCTAATCGAGTTCTTCGATAAAGTGTATCGTCTATAAGTCGAAGAGCTGGTCTACGCTTAGCGCTATAAGCGAAGCGAATTTCTCGAGGTCTTGGTCCGGTACTCGGTATTAAAAGCGCTTTAAAAGAATAACTCTTCGGCTAAGGATAATCGTGACTTGGGTCTCGTAGTCTAAGCTCGAATAGAAATCGGAGCGAATTATCGTTTGAGCAAACGAGATATTTAAAAAGGTCAAGTCTAGTACGTGATTAGCTTTGTAAGTAAAGTCGCCCGAGAGTCTAATATAGTCCATCTTACTAGCATTAGACCAAGCCGCAAGGTCTCTTCCTCGGCCTTTAAGCTCAACCCTTGGTTCGAACATATCGTGCCACACATTAAAGTCCTTTTTAATCAAGCACTTAAAAAGAAAGACGAAGTGGGTGATGTAATTTATAATCGAGTCTATCAAAAGTTGCCGATAAACGTTCAAAGTAGCGAAGCCGTTCACATCGACTTATAAGAGATCTTTGTTGCGAATAAAACAGCGTTGTTAAGTGCGAAGACCTACGCTTTTGCGCACGTAAGTCATCACTCGTAATCGCTTAACAAGGTATTGAGCATCGTCTTGACTATCTTACGATTCTATCGAAGCATAGCAATCGTAAGACGAGTAGTTCTAGGTTTTAATGCTCGAGTGCGTATACGGCTCTTAGATACAGATAACGTTAATGTTTGCCGAATAGCAAAGGTAGAGTAAAGCAATATGGTATGGCTGCTTTTTGCTTACGTTCGCTCAATAGACTTGGATTTCTTTAAAAGGCTATCGATTGCGACGAGTGCCGCGGTGCCGTATCGGCGTGCTTAATATATAAAGTTGTTTTAAGCATCTTAACTAGCAGCAATGCTCGAGCTTCTTACAAACGAAGAAGATAAGCTAATAGTGTTGTCCACGTGATAGTCTGATATCGCTATTAGCGTATCCTTTCCTTCGTCTACGGCAAAGAAGGCGCTGTTTATCAAAGTCTTTTCGTTAAGGTTCTTGCGCGTAGCCGTACTGCGCAAAGGTCTCGTAGCTTGCGTAAAGGCCTAAGAAGAGGATTGTGAAGAGACGGCTTAAAAAGAAGTCGCTCGCTTATGCTTTTGCACCGCAAAGGCGCGTCTTTTCCGAAGGAGAGCCGCGTTGACACCGGTAGCAAGAGTCTTTAATTAAGAAGCCGAAGTCGGTTCGTTCTCTTCCGTTATAAGAGCATTAGCAATAGCGTAAGCTTGGGCTCTTAGTCGTCGGACGGCGCCTAGCTCCTTTTTAGTAAGAGTGATCACCTTGCCGTTAACTCGCTTAAGAGCCGCAAGGCAGTTCTTATGACTAGCTTCGTACGAGCCGTAGCAGTTTGCATAGCGAAGAGGTGCCGTACAGTCTTTGCCGTCGGGCTCGTCGTGCTGATCTCGTCGCTCGCCGTAGTAAGAGCAGCGTGCGTGCCGAGTGCACCTGGTCGGGTTATACTAGCCGAAACAACCAAGGTCGTGCCTTTTGATAAGTTGCTTTTTGTCGACCAACCGAGAGTAGCTGCTACAGCCGAACAACCTAAAGCTGCGGACCTTTTCTAAAAAAGAGACCATCTAGCAAGTCAAGCCGGTCGCCGGGTCGGCTCCGTGCTAAGAGATGCGGACGCTTACCGAGGCTCTCTCGGCCTAGGCCAAGATCTCTTCGTCGATATGCTCCGCTGTTTTGAAAATCTCGCCGAAAAGGCCTTTGATTTCGGCAAAGACCTTTTAGATAGCGTACGTGTATTATTTAACCGGGATAATCGCTCCCGTGGCCTTAAGAACCTCTTAGTACACCTTTTTAGCCTTATCTGTGATAAGAAGGTCCTTCGCTTTAAAGTTGATCGAGGTAAGTGCTTAACTAATGCGAGTAGCCTTAAGACGAAGAATAGTGGTTATATCGACGCCGTTTAGTTTGTCGGCAATAGCTTTGCGAGCGGCGTAGCTGTCGGGACGAGCTAAGAGTGCGGCGGAAAGTACTTGAATCAAGACTCGCTTGTCTTAGCGTGTCTTAGGTTGTTCGTTAAAAGACTTGCGAATAGCTTAAGAGCTCGTAGGCTTGCGGGTCCTTGCAAGACCTATTCTTATTATAAAAGAGGATCGAGACAGCTTAGCGATTGCCGATTAAGCGGCAGCCTTTGAGTTTTTCAAAGTCTTCGAAAGCCCCGCGGAATCTGCTTATAAGATAGACTTGAAAAGGGCCGTTTGCTCGCTGCTGTAAAGAGCGGTCGAAAGAAGAAAAGGAGTGGCTGCCCCGGTAGTTGCGTGTGAATGAGTACGCATAAACGTAAAAAGACTTTTAAAGAACTCTTGCGCATAATATCGAGATTCGAAGTCAAGTTGGTCGTTTATAATCTAGTCCGAAGCGAAAGCGTATTGCTGTTAGACTCGTCGTTTAATAGCAGCCGCGCGGTCGATGTCGTCGAAGTAGCTCTCGATAGCTTTCGTCGCCGTGTTGATAATCGGTGCTCTTCGTTTTAATACGAAAAGAAAGGGCTGCAAATTAATAGCAGCGTTCCCTTTTCTCTTTTTAGAGTGCTAAGTAAAGTTGGACGGCGATGCAGCGTTTTAAGGCCGTATATAATCGGCGTTGTTAATGTTGTTATTGTCCGCGGAGGACCGAGATAAAATGACGAGAACTATTTCTCGAGCTATGCGGCGAGCGCAACGAGCTATTGATTTAGTTTCAACGGATTCTTAAGGAAACCGTATCTTAAGAATCGAATGCAATGAAAATCAAGTCGTTGTAAGCAAGTTGAAAATTTCGTATTGAATAATTAAGATAGCAATCTATACGTTTAAAAGTAAAAGAAGCAGCGAAAAACGTAATAATCTTATTAAGAGTTAAGTTCTTTAATAAATCGCGCTTTTTTAAAAGCTTAATACGAATCGCTTCGTAATCTATTTTTAAAGAAAAGATCATTTTGCTAAGCCTTTCGTATAATTTAGCAATCTTAAAAAGCTTGGCCTTAAGCTTAAGTGCAGCTTTAAGAGCTTTTAATAATATAACGAACAGATTCCGTAAGTCCTCCGGTCGTAAAGCGTTTCGGTTAAGAATCGCGGTATAAGCGAGCTCGAGTTTATTTATTTCTATTAGCTTAACGAAAGTAACTTTAAGCTAATTATAAATAGATTAAACTTTTGCTTTTATCGAAAAAGCGTCTTTTAACGAGTATAGCGTAACTTAAAAAGCTGCGTTGCGCGCTCGAGTCTTTACTAATACAATAATAGCTTTTGTATTAAACACGCGAGCATATAAATCCGCCGATATAATGCATTGTTAACGAATTATATCCGAAGTATTAAAGTCGTTAATACGAAAAGCTTTCGCATTACCGCCGTTAGCTGCTCGAATAAGTGCTTTAACGCGTTCTCGTGCAGCTTTTTTAATAAATTCTCGTTATACTTTTAAAGCTTTATAACGACGCTTAAGATTAAGATTATTTATTATCTTACGAACTTTTTCTAAAACTTGCTCGTACTTAAAAGTGTCGTTTCGAAATTAAAACGAAATCGAAGGTATTTCTTTTCGATACGGTCTTATACATATTAAGTCCGCTTCGTTAAAATAAAAAGCTAGCTCGTATTAAAGTATAAATAAGTAGTACTGATTCTAATATTTATAAGGTTTTTATTAATAGTTAAGTAAATCAAAAGTCTGCTAGTATTAATAGAAAATGTAATTAGAATCGTTTAAAAACCGTTTCTTTTTCGATATGACGTAGCTTCGGTTCGAATAAGTATCGGCCGTATTGATCTCGTAGACTCGATGCAAAGCGATTTCTTAAGTCTTTCCGTATTAAGCAGCTTTTAATAAGTTTATATAAGCCTTTTTCGGTACGAGAGCGAAGCTATCGGTAAGTCTTAAGTGAATATTAATCTTCGCTAGCTATTCCGTAAAGGCTTCGATCTTTAAGTCAAGATCGATAAACGGAGTAATCGAATTCGTAATAGTAATGCTCGCGCGATAAAAAAAAGAAAGATAAGTATTATCGAAGTAAGTATTATAAAAAAGCGAAACGTATAAGTTTCGCTTGCTTTCAAGAATGACAGACGGTACTTAAAGACGAAAGTTTTCGTTTTAATAAAAGTTATAACGAGAAAAAGCTTTAAAAATCTCGGCGTAGCCGTATTCTTTAATCCGTTCCGCAATAATTTGTTTTTGCTTGATTAAGTCGTTAATCATAATATATATTATATTATACGTTTGTAAGTGATCTTTTTTAAGTTTAACGTTTTTTTAAGTCCGATTTTGCATCGATAATAATAAGCAACCGATGTGACGAACTGATGAATTCTGACCTTAGAATACAAAGTAAAGAGAAGAAACAAGAAGCTCGAGGAGCTTAAGAAGGTCTATATATATAGCTATAAGCGCTAAGCTTGGATAGGTGATCAGCTGATTGCAAGTAATAAAGCAGGCTGTCACACTACCCCTTTAAAGAGCGGTCCTAGCTCTCTTAAAAGTACTTGACAGAAAAAGGAAAAAAATTCAATCGTGAATTATAGTTTACGAGTAGAATTGCTGAAAAAAACTAAAAAATACGCCGAAGCTATAGATCGCGATAGTCGTTAAGGTCAGCGTCGTAGCTTCTAGAAGCGTTCTATTCCGTTAAAATTTCTTCTTTTTCGTCCGAGTCAAACTCGCTTAAACTTTTATTTTCCTTGACAAGTCGGTCCGAAAAAAGGTCTTAGAGAACTCGCTTCTTTGTCAAGGGCTTAGCTAAAAAGAAGGTACAGCTAGCTATCTAGTGGTCGATTGCACCGCAACGGGTATAGCGATTTGATTTGCGCTAAGCTTCGCGCTGATCAAGAGTGCTATAAAGAGCATGCTAGAAAGTAAGGTATCGGTCTTCTAATAGTTGAGTTTGGTCAGCCTCGTGAGCGTCGATAAGCTTTATAACGCCGAGCTCGTTAGCGTGCTGCAATTGCTCGAGTTGTTAAGCGCGGTCGACTGCCGAAAGGTCTATTGGGTCGCCGAGAAGAAGGCCCGTTGACGTACGAAGGCGGTTCTGAAAAAGAGGAGCCGAAGGTCGAAGGAATCCGTAAGACGAGCCGGAAAGACCGGAAGAGCCGGAAGAGCGTCTAAGCTGCTGAGTGACGTGCACGTATTCGGTATACGTGGTCGAGAGAGTCAATTGGCCATTCAGACGGGTCCGTATAGTTGAGTTCAAACTATTGCGGAACGCAATAATCTTATTAGCGTCGGGCTAAGTCTAATAGCGAGCAGCGTGCAAAAGTCGTTCGAAGCGTAAGACGTAGATATAAAGAGCGTCCGTACTTTGCTTGCAAGCAAGCAGCTTATCTTCAGCTTCTTGAATTTTGTTTGGATTATCGTAAGCGAAAGCGAGCTGATCTAAAAGAGTATTATAGTCCTAATTGCCGGAGTCTTGAGCTAAGGCCAATTGAGTCAAAACCATTGCTTAAGGACCGGGTTCCATATTAAAGTAAACGTAATAGAACTGCGCAATAGGTCCGCCAAAAGCCTCACCGTCGACGAGAAGCTTAGCCTTGATTAAAAAGAGCCAAGTATCCTACTGCTGAACCGTACCGTTAAACTTATCGGGATCAAGAAGGACGCATTTGCGCTAGCGAAGGGCCGTCCGTAATTGCTTTACGAGAGACTCTAATTAAGCGATTCTCGTAAAAGAGGAAGGGCCGTCGTCTTCGTAAGAGGACATGGTAGTGGAATAAAAGAAGGCGTTTAAGTGTCGGAAACGCCAAGAAAAAGAGTAGGGAAGAGAGTTCGTCTTGCAACCGAAGTGCAAAAAATTAAGGAAAGGAGCTCTTTTAAGTCGGAAGAGCTAAGGAAAAGGTGAGGTCGTAAAAAAAGACAATAATCTATAAGCAATAAATGAAGACCGTAAAGCACTTAACAAGTAACTCACTCCGTTCTTGACAATAATCAATAAGCTGTAATCTATAAGCTGTAACAATAATCAATAACAATAAGCTGTAATACGACGACCTAATCGAAGGACTTTGTATAATGTGACGAACTGATGAATTCTGACCTTAGAATACAAAGTGAGGAAAGGAAACAGGAAGCTCGGGGAGCTTAAGAAAGTCTATATACATGGCTACAGGCGCTAGGCCTGGATAGGTGATCAGCTGACTGCAGGTAACAAGGCAGGCTGTCACAACCGAAGAACTTTTACTTTAACTGCTTATCGGTAATATCTTTATTAACGAAGCAAGCAAAGCTCGTAAAGTTAAACTAGCGAGTGAATTGTAAAAGCTTTGCTTTAAAAGCTTTTTCTTTTGCTATCTACTTATTGCTTAAGTCGTTTAAAAAGCTAATACTATCTTTTTACTTAGCTAGGTCGAAAGCTTTATACTCTTTTTTGATCATCGATTTAAAGTCGTCTTAAGTCACTTTCGGATCTGAAAAGCTATCGAAGCTCTCGATATTGCAACGTATATTATAATCGAAAGGGCTAAAGATATTATACTTAATAAAGCACTGCTTCTTTTCCGAATCGATAACGATACCGTAATCTTTAAACGCTCGTTCGAGCTAGCGAATATAATCCGTAATATTAGCTTTATTAAAAGCAAGTATTTTAAAAGCTTTAAGTTTAAAAAGAAGTTTACGAATACTTACGTAATTCGAAGCATTTACGAAAGGTGAAAAGGCTTAAATCCTTTTCACTTCGTCTTCGGTTATCTTGCGAATAGCATCTTCGTTAAGTCCGAAATCCTTTTAAGTCGAAAAAGTTATAGCTCTTTTTGATTTCCGAAAGCTTTAACGTAAGCTCGTTAAATTAAGTTGATAAATATCGATCGAAGTGTAAAAGTGTTTTAAAATAAATGCGAAAAAAGAACGAGAATAATATAAATGTAAATATAAATGCAAATAAATAATAGAAATAAAATAAATACAATTTATAATAAATATTAAATATATAAAGAAATGTTATAAAAATATAAGATATCGATGCGTCGAAAGTAATTTATTAAAAAGTCGAGTGTCGATCGCTTCGAGCTAAATAATCGAAACCAAATCGATGCAATAGATGATATTAATAATACGTTTAACTTTTAAACGTAAGATCCGAATAAACGAAAAAGTAATTGCCGAGATTAAGTGTATCGAAATAAAAACGAAGTCGAATAATAGCCGAGCTTCTATGCAAGCATATAGCTTGCTTTTAATATAATGCGACACCGAAACGATTTCGAATTGCAAACACTTATTTCCGCTCGTCGTATCTTTTATCTATCGAAGCGAAAGATGATCGAAAGCAATTCGAAGTCTTTATACGTAATCTTTATTGCGAAGTAAATATTGAATTTTTAACCTTTTAAGCTTAACGTAGTATTTCCGATACTTAACTATTGCTCACTCTTTTAAAGAAGAAAAAGCAATAGACTCGTATCAAAATCGATATTAAATCGAAAAGGTAAAGTATACTAAACGAATAATACTTCGAGCGTATCGCCGTGCAAAGTGGTCTAAGTGAATAGTACTTTATAGATACCGAATTGAACTTTAACTAGCTCGATCTTCGAATTAAAATAACGACTTCTTAAGTAGTACTTATCGAATATATCGAATAATATACTCGACGGACACAAATCGAAAAAAAATCGCTTTTAAAGCAATAGCTTCGAAGCTCATATGCAAAAGCACTTAATTATTAGCTTAACGTATGTCGAATACTCTTCGAAAGAGTATCGCAAAAGCATATAGTTAATAGCTTAACGTATAACGTAAACTCCGAATATATAGCTTTTCGCAAAGGAAGCAAGTTTAAAAAAGGTATAAAAACTAACCTTTAGTTCGATTCTTTGCGTAAGTCATTAAATATATATAAAAAAAAAGAGCTCCGACATATACTTAACGTCAAATCAAGAGATATATATAAATATAATTATAGTAGAATCGTAAGTGAATAAAAAGAAAGAAAGAAGACGATCGAAAGACATTCGAATATGTGCTATAAGTACGTGTATTATATTGTGTGTATTATGATGCTAGTTTAAAAAGGAACTAACTACTCGTCTATATAAGAGCCTACACGTAACCTAACTACGTAACTTAACTACGTGCTTAATAAGGCCAGAGCATGCAGCGCACCTACGTGATAAAAGTGTTTAGCATCAGTACTATATACATGGACAAAACAAATACAGAGCCCCAACTCCACCACAATAGCTAATTAAACGTCGAAGCAAAGCCGATTTCCGTTAAAAGAGGTTCCGTATTACTTTCGATTACGATCCGTAAAGTACGCCGATCTTTACGAGTAAACTAGTCGAGAAAAAGATATTAAAATTAAAAAACACCGTAAAACATAGCTGTAAAAAAAGTCGAAATAAAGCCGATAATAAAAATAAAGCAAAACCGTCTTTGAATCGAAAGAGCTTCGAATGCGAAAAGCGTATTGCGCTAGCGGTGCTTAATCTAACTGCTACGGATGTTCTTTTGCAACTAAAGCTTAATCATTTAAGAAAATTCGAATAAGCGTTTAAGCTAAGACCGCTAAGCAATAGTATCTTTGTATAAGATCCGTCTTAATCGAGCAAAAACTTATATAAAGTCTGCTTTATTAATAATTCGGCCGTAAGTCGAAGTAGCAAAAGAAAAAAGAAAAAGTAAATTCTTACGATAAAGCGCTTTATCGATAAAGCGATTCGTAACTTTGCAAAATAGATTATTATTTAATAAAAAGATATTACTTTTTTTTTAAATAAGTCGCTAAAGCTTTAAAGCAAGTCCGTTTTTTACTAGATTATCCGTCGCTTTCGGTATAAGCCTGCTACTTATAATTAAGTAATCTTCCGAAGCTTTCGTAACGCTAACCGTAACTTAAAAGCAGTTAATAACGCTTTCGCTAATAAAAGTTTGCTAAATTATCTTATCGATTATACTTTCGGAAAAAGATCGTTTAAAAGTAAAAAAAGCAGCGAAGAACGTAATAGTCTTATTAAAAGTTAAGTTCTTTAGCAAATCGCGCTTTTTTAAGAGCTTAATACGAGTCGCTTCGTAATTTATTCTTAAAAAAAAAATCATTTTACTAAGCTTTTCGTATGATTTAATAGTTTTAAAAAGCTTGGCCTTAAGCTTAAGTGCAGCTTTAAAAGCTTTTAACAATATAACGAGCAGATTTCGTAAGTCTTCCGGTCGTAAAGCGTTTCGGTTTAAAATCGCGGTGTAAGCGTGCTTGAGTTTATTTATTTCTATTAGCTTAATAAAAGTAATTTTAAGTTAGCTATAAGTAGATTAGACTTTTGCTTTTGCTAAAAAAGCGTCTTTTAATAAGTATAACGTAACTCGAGAAGCTGCGTTGCGCGCTCGAGTCTTTATCGATGCAATAGTAGCTTTCGTATTAAATACGCAAGCATATAAATCCGCTAATATAATGCATCGCTAACGAATTATATCCGAAGTATTAAAGTCGTTAATACGAAAAGCTTCCGCATTGCCGCCGTTAGCTACTCGAATAAGCGCTTTAACGCGTTCTCGTGCAGCTTTTTTAATAGATTCTCGTTATACTTTTAAAGCTTTATAACGTCGCTTTAAATTAAAATTATTTATCGTTTTACGAACCTTTTTTAAAACTTGCTCGTATTTAAAAGTATCGTTTCGAAACTAAAACGAAATCGATAATATCTCTTTTCAATACGGTTTTATATATATTAAGTCCGCTTCGTTAAAGTAAAAAGCTAGCTCGTATTAAAGCATAAATAAGTAGCATTAATTCTAGTATTTATAAAGCTTTTATTAATAGCTAAATAAGTTAAAAGTTTACTAACACTAATAAAAGATGCAATTAAAATCGTTTAAAGACCGTTTCCTTTTCGATATAACGTAGCTTCGGTTCGAATAAGTGTCGGCCGCATTGATTTCGTAGATTCGGTGCAATGCGATCTCTTAAGTCTTTTTATATTAAGCAGCTTTTAATAAGTTCATATAAGCTTCTTTCGGTACGAAAGCGAAGCTATCGATAAGCTTTAAATAAATACTAACTTTCGCTAGCTGTTTTATAAAAGCTTCGATCTTTAAATCAAGATCGATAAACGAAGTAATCGAATTCGTAGCGGTAATGCTTGCGCGGTAAGAAAAAAGAAGATAAGTATTATCGAAGTAAGTATTATAAAAGAGCGAAACGTATAAGTTTCGCTTGCTTTCGAAAATAATAAACGATACTTAAAAACAAGAGTTTTCGTTTTAATAAAAGTTATAATAAAAAAAAGCTTTAAAGATCTCGGCGTAACCGTATTCTTTAATCCGTTCCGCAATGATCTGTTCTTGCTTAATTAAATCGTTAATTATAATATATACTATATTATACGTTTACAAGTGATCTTCTTTAAGTTTAACGTTCTTTTAAGTCCGATTTTGCATCGATAGTAATAAGCAATCGAAGAACTTCTACTTCAACTGCTTATCGATAATATTTTTATTAATTAAGCAAGCAAGGCTCGTAAAGTTAAACTGTCGAATAAACTATAAAAGCTTCGCTTTAAAAGCTTTTTCTTTTGCTATCTACTTATTGCTTAAGTCGTTTAAGAAGTTAATACTATCTTTTTACTTAGCTAAGTCGAAAGCTTTATACTTTTTTTTAATTACCGATTTAAAATCGTTTTAAGTTACTTTCGGATCCGAAAAGCCGTTAAAGCTCTCGATATTGCAACGTATATTATAATCGAAAAGGCTAGAAATATTATATTTAATAAAGCATTGCTTTTTCTTCGAATCGATAACGATACCGTAGTTTTTAAACGCTCGTTCGAGCTAGCGAATATAATCCGTAATGTTAGCTTTATCGAAAGCAAGCATTTTAAAAGCTTTAAATCTAAAAAGAAGTCTACGGATACTTACGTAATTCGAAGCATTTACGAAGAATAAAAAAGCTTAAATCTTTTTTACTTCGTCTTCGGTTAGCTTACGAGTAGTATCTTCGTTAAGTTCGAAATCTTTTTAAATCGAGAAAGTCATAGCTCCTTTTGATTTCCGAAAGCTTTAACGTAAGCCCGCTAAGTTGAGTTGATAAATATCGATTAAAGTATAAAAGTATCTCGAAACGGATGCGAAAAAAGAACGAGAATAATATAAATGTAAATGAATAATA